AAACCCAGATAGGACACGAACACAAAGAGGATGATGATAACACTAATATTATAAACATAGTGGTTCGCGTAAACAAAGGTATATATGAAAATTACTGGTAGGCACTTTTTGCACTTTATAAATGTATGTTTTACGGATGTAATCAATGTATAAAATACTTACTTAAAAATAACTATAATCGATAACGTCTTTTCTTATAAAAAAGAACGCCCGCACTAGGAATAAATCCTGTGTCACGGGGGACTTTACAAACATACATGAAACGAACACAAAGAACACCTAGACTACAACAATTTGTGGCTCACAAAAAGTGTTGTCCCATGTGGGGATCGAACCCACAACACTCAGCGCAGTAGGAAGCGGCGAGGTGATCGCTTAAACCACTAGGCCATCCGTGCAGTTAAACTAGGCAGAGCCTTTCTTGGGGGAAGTGTTCTACCCTGGGATAGGGCCTGATTAGGCATGGTGTCAATTCGGGGAGGACCTGAAATAACATGGTCCGGGTCCTCCCCAGAGTAGGACACCTAAGGCCGGCCGTCGGGGTGGTTTTTAGTGGAATCACCACATACTCCTGGCTCCTGAGTCCCCGAGGAGCCGGAGATCCGAAGGGATTTTCCACCCCGTCAACAAAAAAAAAAAAAAAAAAAAAAGGCAGAGCCTTTCTTATTGTAACTAGGTTGCTTATAAACATATTTATTTATTTCTAAATAGATACATGTCCAAGATAAACTTTGAATCTATACTTATAATATAAAACTTAAGAGTTTGTTTGTTTCGTTGAACGCGCTAATATGAGGAACTACTGGTTCGAATTGAACAATTATTTTAGTGTTGGATAGCTACGCTACCGCCAGTAGGAGCCGAGCGTCAATGAAAAACGCAGCAAAAACGGGGAAAGTTTATTCCTTTTGAGACACGCAGACAAAACTGTGTGGGTCTGCGTGAATGTAAATATCGGATGTAATTTAGTGTAGGTAAAAAGACAGTAAACCATTATTTTATGTTTTTATGTTAAATTATCACAATATACAACAAAATTATATATTATTACTTCTAGGCAAGTTCATTTGCTGGTCAAGTACCTCCTTGACATTGGTTTTTGTGGTTATGCAAGATGTCGAGAGTAACCACGAATGTTTCGTCAGATCTTGCGATATCACCACTCATTGCGATTTGTGAAACATTTGTAATCATACGTAGATGTTAAACATATCGTACAATTTCAAAATTTGGGGTTACAGCAAATAACATGAAGATGACCATGATATTTTAAGACAGTACTGTAAATATTATAGTCAGTCAGTTGTGGCAAAAATGTAACAGTCTTACAAGCAAGTAGTTGGTGTGTGTACGTTTTAAAAATTCAAAAAATTCTGCACTCATTGTGGTAGCATTGATGTGGTGAGAATTGACGAACAAAACTGTGCCACAGTAAAGCTTAGGAGGGCACAGCTAGTAATTTATAATAATAGTAAAATTGAACCATGAGTGTTTAATAATGATGGCCTGTAATTGGTTAATTGTTGCGTATTTTATTCTCATATAACTATTGTTACCGCTGTTGGTCTTCCGTCATAAATAAATAAAATTCGTTTGAGAACAAATGACTGACTAGAGCGAAATTGTCTAAACGATGTCACTTTTTTTTAGAAGATTTGCATTCAGATTGTTGTAATAAACATCACTAAAATCGAATTTAATAAAAATATCGTTAGATAGGTACGGCAGACTTGCTTTCAGCTCAAAAAAAGACTGAAGACGTTGTCTTTGCTTTTACTTATCATTATCACCTATCGGGGTGTTTTCCAATTTAATTTTAATTGGGCGTAATGTGTCACTCATCATATCATGAGCGTGCACCATCAGGTGACATGTCAGTTCGATCGAAAAACTATTAAAAAATCTGCATTAAAAGAATACCTACCTATTCCATTTATGAGCACCAATATGTGACCACATTATTCATCTATTCCTTCTATAGTAAACTAATTATATTATCTGGTGCGAATGCCTACAATTTATTAATAAACAATAGCAAATTATTTCCTCGAGATCTATAAGACAGTTAATGGTTTTTAATTTTATTGTATGTCGTAATAATATCATAAACAATAGCTCTTAATGTCAATAGCGCTTCCTTTGTTTGTTTTTTTTTTAAATAGAAGGCTTGAAAAGAATTGCAGTTCGTGTTTGACCTGCGTGTTTCTTAGCATAATATGCTAATATAGTCATATTATGATTTTAAATACCTAGTTTACCCGTCATTGCCTTGAAAATGACAGTTGTAATTGCTACAGGAAAGTGTCGGTAGTCTTTTTTTTATAATATAGGTTGGGGAAAAAACTACCGGCGCTTAGGGCTCCTGAATTGTCATAAGTGTATAGCCGCCTTTAAAGGCCCCCCTCCCAGAATCAGGTGGAAGGGGTGTTTGGGCGCCGGTAACCTCACTCATTCACAAGGCAACGCAAGCAACTTCTTCCAAGAACAATAATTGTACTACATATTTTAAATAATGGTGTCATAGATGCGTAATTAGTCGAGTGCTCACGCTGCACATAACTTTCGGAAGGCCTTATCGACCGAGAGGCGGCCACAACATTTCCAGGGTATCTGTTTTATTAAAGAAAACCATCAGCAGTGATGGTATTCACGTTAATATAGAATAAGCGCCATGATTGCCTGGATTCCGTATGACCCCAGGAGTGGGGGAAGTATATTTTTTATTGCAAAATTCACAAACTTACTTGGTCCATATGTTATAGTGTTCAAACCTACGTCAAATTGTAGTTCAAAGTTAAAGTTTAGTGTTATTGAAGAAAAAAAATGATTGCCTGGATATTAATTTCTGATGGTTTTCACCAATATGACAGATATACTGGAAATTTTGCGGCCGCCTCTTCGTCCATGACAGTTTAGTAAACCGAAAATGCGGTTTAAAAGATGTAGATGGTCTTTCTTTGATAATACCCTACATTGCGTAGTTCTACAGTTATGACGTCACCTACACAGCTTTACGATGATTGGTGGGAGAGTGCACAATGCAGAGCATCTAACATATATTATGTTCTTAACTTAAACATGTATTACCTAAATCCTAAACAAACTATTTCCATTTCTTCGACATTACTACATTTTGAAATAGTTTTTTTTCCAATGTCTTCCCTGATATTATTTCATAATGCCCTGATGAGCAAGCACTCAGGGAACGGATAATGGTTTTTAAAGCAATGTAAAGGTATAAAGCATCTTTCACTGTAACTGCTTGTTACGTTTTTGACAAACTTATCAGAGGAAGACTCTTCAGGATCGAGTGAGGATTTAAAGTACCTACACACGGCAATCGAAATTCCTGGTTTATAGTACAAAGTACCTGTGATTTTAATGAACTATTCCTATAGAAATTGAACTAATAACCCAGAAGGGCTTCACTCATAGATTTGCAAATGATTGTTGTTTCAAAACCAATCTGCGTTTTTAGTTTCGATTTCTAAGCATTCAATAGTTCAGTAAAATCACAGGTACTTTGTAATACTGTTCAGGTATTTCGTTCGCTGACTATACGTAGCTTTAAGTAACAAATATTTGCTTAAAAAAATGCTTGGCATAAATCTACACAAAAGCTAGTTATATCTTATTATAGTCTGACCTGTGCAGCTGTGTTGTCATCGCATGACATAGACGGTTATTTTAAAAGCAATTCATTAAAACGCTATTCTTAAGGCTTATTATGTTTCGTGAGAATAGGCAAACGTAATATTAAATGGATGCGTTATTTCTTTAACATTTATCCTGAATGTAAACAATGTTCTATAAGCAAGTTAAAATTGCGATTGTATAGCGCGCTCTATTTGTAATATAATTTATTGTATAGGTACTAGTTAGCTGTGTGGTGACGGATTAAGAATACGGAGTGTCACACACATGGGTGTCGTAAGAGACGACTAAGGGAGCAAACTACGCAGGACAACAGCACTGCAAAGAGAAGGAAAAAACCCTATACCAACCCGTCTAGTCAGCGTGGTATAGAAGGCCAAAATCTCCTTTCTAAGGAGAGCCCTATGTCCAACAGTCGACAGTGGACTACTAAAAAGTGTGTTAGTGATAAATTGATGTATAATAGTACCTACTTCCCCACAATTTCAACTTCGTTTTTAGTCACAACACTTCTCTTCATCTGTTAACCTACCAGAATCTTTGAGAATATACGAGATATTAATAATATATGAGTTTTTTTAACAATTTATTTTAGTAGTGAATTTTTTAAATATTTTAACAATTATTCTGCGGAGGAGAAGGAGGAGGAACCAAATCCACAAAAATCTAACATCATAAGAATCGGTCTAACCGTTCCTGAATTATAAAGTAATGGTGTAACTAACCCGTCTTTGTTTTAGTTAGTAAGATGAAATGTTTGTGTTCTAACACTATCTATCTACATCTCACATGTTTATTTATACTTAATACTCATAGCTTAAAGTCGTTCAAAATATAATTGCAATTAAACAGGGGATACATTAAAGAAATAAAAACCTAGTGTTTTGGGAGTCATTTTTTATTTTAAATTAATTTCCTTTTAATATGTACAAAAATAATAAAATATTTAGTAGTTATAACTTTAATATTATATAGTTTTAAAAGAGATACTTAGATAGATATATTTTTAAACACTTAAAACCAGAATGCCTCAAAAGTTTTATATGTATATATAAAATGAATTGCCTTTTGGGTCATTCTTGCGTCTTTATATAATTTAATAAATAATTTTATAAATAAAATGTTAACACTTAAAATTTATAGCAGTGTTTCGTAAATCCCGTGGTATTAAAAATTGTTTGCGTGGTATCGATAAGTTTAGGATCGATTTATATTGGTTGGAAAAAACTATTTATCCCTGATAGACTATTAAATGTGCAATACACTTTCGTAGAGTCTTTTTAAGTGCATTCAGGTCTATTTTATTTATTTACATTTATATAATATACTTATTAAGAAATACTAACCGAGATCAGCGAAGCACACAACGACGAACATCAATATGGCACTGAACTTAATCACGGCAGACGCCATTTTGGCGATTTAAAAAGAGAACTTAGAAATATAAATTAAATAATAAAAGAAATATGTAAGTTGGCGTGTATATTCACGCGCAGCAGAACTCGACTGGCAATGAACGTGGCCTCTACCCAGCTTTTATGTCCGACTCAGATGCTCTGAATCATCACGTTCAAAGAATTTATCGAATTTTGATTCCAGTGTGTTGTTTGATTGTGAATTTGTATCCGCGTGGGACTTTATATATTACCCTGCACGACTCTTAGGTGAAGGTCGAAGTAATCATGTTGCGATAAGTAAAATATCTCGTATATTTAGGTATTGCATTTTCGCAGGAAACTGCAATCAGATTAGATACATTATTTCTCAAGAACTTATTAATGGAAATTTTACAATAAGATTTGAAAAGGGAAATAATGTACATACTTTGCAAGGAAAAACTATAGTTATTAGAGTTGAAATTAATACCTAGCCCTTGTCCGGTAACCGGCGTTGGGGCTATTCACTATTCAGCCGGATAATGGATAGAAATTTGTAGTTCTTTATTAACCTTTATTAATATTTACCTGTATATACAGCGTTAAAAAATTCTAATTATGTCAAGGAAATAGGAATTAATATACCCATATAAATATTAATTTCCATGAAATAAATGAAAATGATTCACGAAATAGTTATTACTAAATAGAAAATTGTATTGCAATCGCGAGGCCGTGGGTTCGATTCCCCCTCAGGGTAAGTAATTGTATTATAATTAAGATCATTTGTACAGAACAAACAGTCTGAGAGTCAATTATCTATAATATGTATGTATTTAGAAATCATAATTATAACGACTGCACGGATGGCGTAGTGGTTTAGGCGGTTACCTCGCTGCTTCCTACTCCGCTGAGTGTTGTGGGTTCGATCCCCGCATGGGAATAATCCATAAATTATTATTCTGAGTCTAGGTGTTTTTGTGCCCGTTTCAATATATGTTTATGAAGTGCCCCACGACCCAAGATATATTCTTAATGCGGGAGTTGTCTTTTAAAAAGAAACGAATATAATAGGCAGCCCGCCCATTAAAGTGTTTGTTTCTTTATCGTGACGCACTTTCGTTTCTCAATGAACGTCACGATAAAGAAACAAACACGTTTCAATTTAATAAGTAAGTACCGAAATAAAATATATCCGTCCGTGTGGTGACGGATTAAGCGGCCGTGTGGTGACGGATTAAGAATATAGAGTGTCACCACCCCTATTCATCCCATGGGTGTCGTAAAAGCCGACTAAGGGAGCACACTACGCAGGACAACAGCACTGCAGAGAGAAGGATACCAACCCGTGGTATAGTAATACCACGCTGTCCAGACGGGTTGGTTGGTTTGTTTTGGCCTACTGGCCAAAACCTCCTTTCTAAGGAGAAGCCTATGTTCAGCAGTGGACTATTAAAGGCTGTTGATGTGATGTGATGATGTTGATGATGATGAAATAAAATATACAAGAAATTTTAAAGTATGTTTACTATAGCTCAATTTCTGCCTATTTTGGGATTAAACGACCGTGTATCAGATATGACAAGTGTATATTATTAATATTTTTTATTATTTGACACCTGATAAGAAATTGCTTTAAATCTGACGTAGTTTTTCTCAATAAAGTTGTACAATACAATATCTAAAGGGTAGCTTAGAATCTAGCCTAAGGGTTGTAAAGTAAAATCTCAGTTTCATATTTTCTTATTGTTAAAGCAGCAACGTGATATTACTGTCTACATCTAAAAAAGACAATTGACAACGTTTTGCTAAATATCCGGCGGCAGGATATCTGGCTATTCTGAGTTTAGTTTGGCTGGATATCCAATATCCGGTGTCCAGGCAAAAAGGTATTCCTTGTATGTGTAGGAATAATTGTTTAATGCCATTCAATTATGTCATTAAAATTTATGATATCTTTCTTCAATTATGCATTGTGTGTATTAATCAATACAAATAATGGATAGAATATTTTTCTAAATACTATGTACCTAGGCATATGATAGGTCTCTTAGGTAGTTAAAATTATATAAAAGTAATAAGCTTGTTAATGTAGTTTATTTTGTTGTTTTATTTTTGTTCAATTTAGTGTTAAACTCGCATTGAGGTTTTTTTAGTTTCACATAGTGTTACTCTATTACGCCTCAAAATGTTGAGCATTAATCTGAATCTAATGGATGCATGCTTTAGATTTTAGTAAATAACTAGCGATCCGTCCCAGATTTGCACGGGTGCAATGTAGATACTACAAATTCTACTAACGTCGTGTCAGTGTGGAGTAATTAATTATCCTTTTATTATGACGGGACTAATACTACAGTATATGCAATATTTATAGGTCCGCTCAGATCGTACCAGCGACGGACGTACGGCCCGAAGCGAGGACGGCCTTTTAGCTCCCGCATTTTAAACCTCTAATATCTTCAAGAATATTCATTTTAATGACATGCTGTACAGAGCAATTTTAATCTACATTAAATGCACAACGTCTTCAATTGGATAAGGAATAATAATGTATTGTTTAAAATAGCTTCGTAAATACCCCATTTCCATAGGTTATCTTTAGGAGATAGACATAAAACACCGTGGACTTTCTTGTAGATCATTTTTAGATTTACAATTCCGTAGTAAATTATTTTGGTCTATGATTAGCCAGCGTTTGCAATGTAAGGAGGGATGAGGGAGCAGAACTGAGACGCAGGCTTAATTGATTGACAGGAAAACCGAACTCTTTCTAAAGGGAAACTCTCGCAAATGTACTCATTGCACAATGTCAGAATGCATTCCCACGTGAAGGTAATATTCAAAAATTTACCTCTAGTTATCGCCCCCGGTAATCTCTAAAAGGATTTTTTCTAGTTATTCGGATAATTATTGTTCTCTGCATGAAAATTAACAACACATTTTATTCTCCGAACAACATTTATGTTAATTTCATGATGATTAATTGTGTATCTAAGACTTGAAAGTCAGATAAACAAACAAACACATTCGCAGCATAATTAGGGTAAGCATAGGATAATTTTAATGTTTGTAACACTTGAGGTTACTCATACACGTTCTTTGAAATCAGACTAATATATTTCGTTTTAAGGAAGTATTTACAAGGAAGTATCCTTGTTATTCTAAAGTAGCTGAACCGTGCAACAGCCTCTGCGTCTCTTAAAATTGATAATTTTACCACATTTTTGAAAAATTCATTTGGAAAATCATTGATGGTCCACTCCTATTGGTCGTAGCCTGATATTGTATAGCCTTCCTCAATAAATAGGCTATCCAACACTAAAAGATTTTTTTAATTCGAACGAGTACTTACTAAGATTAGAGCGTTCAACCAAACAAAGTGTTCAGCTTTACAATATCAATATTAATGAAGCAAATACCCAGTTACCCATCTTGAATTAATTGTCTGTTTATTGAGAGGTTGTATTAACTAATACATTAAATGCGAAAGTGAGTTTATTTTTTTGTTACGCTTTCGCGCCTTAATGTTATTCGTTACGTTTTATACTTTATTATGTCATACTAACTTATATCATATTCATTGGGTATTTTATATTTTTATTTATTTAAAACGTTGTTTAATTCTGAGAACAGACATAAAGGGTGTCAACACACTTGTGAGTCGTGAGATACAGGTGTTCATGGGCGGCGGTGGTCATTTACCATCAGGCGACTAATCTTCTCGTTTTTCCAGTATAACATAAAAAAAAAATTGATAGTGCATTTTTTAATTAGGACTGTAGAAAATAGAAGATTATTCTTATGCAATTGGTTGTGCCTGCTGGTCTAGTGGTTAGCGACCCTGAATGCTAAGCCGGAGGTCGTGGGTTCGATACCCAGGGGTGGGTACCCAGGACAAATATTGTGTGATGATCACGATCATTTGTTCTGTGTCTGGGTGTAATAGAACTATATAAGTATGTTTATCAGCAGTCTGGTTATCAGAGTACAGGCTCTGCGTAGCTTGGGATCAGACTGCCGTATGTAAGATGTGTCAAGTTATTATTATTATTTATTGCTATTGTAAAAGTTAGCGATCACAACGCGTCATAATCGCAGTATGCAGTATTTAATTAAAATAATAAATTAAAGTAATTTATTTGTGTATAAAAGCAATTAACTAATGTAATTAACTAAACAAAAATGGGAAAACAGTAGATTTTTTTATATTTTCTAAAGTTTTTATACTTTATGTTATCAGACATACGTGCTGACTTAACTGCAGGTTATACAAGTCTCTTATGTAGTGGAATATTTTTCCATTAAGTACTCTAAAGAGAGAATTTTAAGCTCTCGAACCGTAATAGGGTGATAGTTTCGTCGTCTCACTTATTGTCTTAAAGAAGCAAACTACGCAGGACAACAGCACTGCAGAGAGAAGAAAAACTTCACACAAACCCTATTCCTACAAGTCTGGCCAGCGTGGTATACCTATTAGGCCAAAACCTCCTTTCTAAGGAGAGGTCTATGTCTAGCATTGGATTAGTAAAGGCTGTTGATGATGATGATGACTTATTGTCCGAACTTGTCCCAAGCATTCTTTATCGAATATATAGTTATTCGTTCTTTAGTATAAGTATTTCTATTAAGTATTAAGTAATAAAAAAGTTCTGAGAACACAAAGCATCTTATTGTTATTTACATTTCTTCCGAGCAGCCTCTAAGGTTTCTTGTAACCTTCACTCTATTTTAAATTTGGAAGCAGAGTAACAACCTAAAAAATTAAATCCACGCACTGACTCTTTACATTGATATCTTTGCCAATAAAAAAAAGAGTAGGTAGCTAGTTCAAGTATAACATAAAATCTTATTAAATCCTAGTTCACAATGCGTTAAATTATTATGAAATGTAGTTATAGCTTATTATTGTATCATATGATTTAAATAATAGATGTATCATGTCATATCTCATACTTATGATATCATGCCCTATAAAGTGGGATACTTCAGGTGAGATTTTTACATAATAAAATCATTAGGAAACTTGTTATGGAA